TTTCTGAACAATGAAGAGATAGGAAAAAAATTGGATGAATCCCTGCAGTTATTAGACAGAAAATGCTGATTAATTAGGCACCTGAGGTTTTGGTGACAGCTGCCCATAAATCTCCCAGCAGCTTGTTTTTGGGTGACTGGCAATATTCTCTAGCATTAGTGTTTTCTTGGCCTTAGACTGGTAGTGGTGACACTTTCATTATTACTCCTTGTTGACTTCTTGTATCTGGATGCATTTGTTGTTAATGCAACTGTTGGACCAGCTAATGACTGCTCTATTGTTTCTTCTTCATCTTGTTGGATAATCTGTGACTGAGTTGAAATGATTTAATAACTCGACAGCTATTTCCGTCTAACTACCTGATTTCTAGATCATTTGCTGACTGAAGTGTAGGACAGAGTGGCTCATTCAGGGAGTAAAAAGCATTTCCAAGGATTCTTGCCATCAGAAGTGCTACATATATGGAAGGCCCAGTCAAGTCTGATACTGCCTCCTGGAATTGGGTTTCATAAATTGGTTTACCTTCACTTGCCCTTTTCCCACTCACTGGAGGCTTACGTTTTGCTGCTCAGGAAATCCAGAATACACTCTGGGATGATAAATCATGGACCAGAGTCACAGAGAAAATAGCAATTCTGAAAACAGCCACATTTTGTTGAAACTGGCTTTGGACAGTAAGACATGACTCCTGCAAAAGTTCTATGTATTGATCATATAACACACACACACACACACAATATTTAGTGATAGACTCATGGTAGGTTGCTTACAGAAGAATTTAACTTCACTGTACCTTGTTACTTCAAACTAAAGAATTATTGAAAGATTCACTTGTTTATCCTCCTCCCCCTTTTCCCAATTTAATTCAGTTTTGGAAAGAGGTGCATGCATGATTAACTTTTCAATAATGCAAGAACAACAATCTGATGTAAATGCATCGATCAATTTAATGGAAGATTGTAAAGTCAGCATCAGCAGAGAAACCAATTTTATTGATTCGATTAAGTAACATTTTGAAGCATTTTGCCTGGAATTATTAAAATGTGCCTACATGCAAAAATGAGAAGCATAGTGTAAGAGGATGATGTTTTTATTAGACCAATTTTGGCTTTTAAAATGTGCAAGCTCTGAAAATGTACGTCTTGGTTGTCAAGCACAGTTTCCCATAGCAAAGATGATAACAAGCAAGAGGCTTTGGGAGCTTCCAGACAGACAGCTCTGACTGCTACCAATTATAAAAGGCACTGTGCAGTTATTCTGGGGTTTTTTTTTCTTTTTGATGGGTTTTTTGGGGAAGGAAGAAAAAATATGGGAGAAATTGTCTGGGAAAATGAAAAAACATTGGCTAGCATCCTTTATGGCAGTTAAAGATTTTAGTGAAGACATCTGCCCTTGCGCTATGCTACTCTGCTGCTGAGTATGCATGCCCAGTGTGGAACACATCTCACCACACTAAAACAGTGGATGTGGCTCTTAATGAGACATGCCACATTATCACGGCGTGTCTGCGCCCTACACCACTGGAGAAATTACACTGTTTAGCCGGTATTGCACCACCTGACATCGGCTGGGGAGTAGCAACCAATAGTGAAAGGACCAAGGTAGTGACATCTCCAGCTCATCCCCTGTTTGGATATCAGTCAGCACGCCCACAACTTAAATCAAGAAATAGTTCTCTAAGATATACAGAGACACTCACTGAAACACCTCAGCAAGTGAGAGTCCAAAAGTGGCAGGCTCAAACCCAGAACCTCAATAAATGGCTGATACCAAATGAGAGACTCCCTCCTGGACACACAGAAAACTGGGTGACTTGGAAGGCGCTGAACAGACTCTGCTCTGGCACCACAAGATGAAGAGCCAATCTTAAGAAATGGGGCTACCAAGTGGAATCCACAACATGTGAGAATGGAGAAGAGCAAACCACAGACCACCTACTGCAATGCAACCTGAGCCCTGCCACATGCACAATGGAGGACCTTCTTGCAGCAACACCAGAGGCACTCCAAGTGGCCAGCTATTGGTCAAAGGACATTTAATAGAATACCAATTCTGCAAACTTTGTGTTTTGTTTGTTTGTTTGTTTGTTTGTTTGTTTTTAATGCAATACAACTGTTTTGGTTCATTCCTGACATGACAAAGAAATAAAGATTTTGAACCTAGAGTTATAGATCTGTAATTGCTTCATACTATGTATTAATGATTGTGGCATGACAGCCAGCATCTGCTTTGAACAATTGAGGTATGTTCTGTTGGCGATAGAGGGGGGACACAGTGGCATTTACAGCCTCCTCCCACCAGTGGGTAAGATTTTGACAATCAGAAACAGGGCTTCTTTTGCAACTCCTTATCACACAACAACTCACTGGTGAGAAGGGGATTGGAAACATCATTTTGCTGTATCCCTGCTTCCAACAGAACATCACTTAGAGAAGCTGCTAGCTGTGAAGTTTTGCTTGGCAAGTTGAGCCAGAAGACAATAGTTACAAAATCATAACTAAGTTGGTAATGCCATCTGAATTCCCCATCCTGCACATAACCACATAAAATGCGATGAATGAAGCAAGATACATGCACAATAAGAGTTACAGCTAAAAGTCCCAAACCCAATTATCTCTGGACTGCATCTTTCAAAGGCAGCCCACTTACTTGGTCTTTACCTTATGATGTTGTTTGTCCCATTCTTAATTTTAGATTGCAGGCTCAACATAATTGATTAGGAGCCAAAAGGTGTTACTGAAAATATGCTTCTTAGGATACGTGTAAACTGCGACTAACAGACTTGACTTACATCTAGCTGAACAGTTACCTTCTTTCTGTAAGGAACCCCAGGTATAAGGAATTGGAGCATAGGAGCTGCCATGACATCTCCCAGAAAGAATTTACAGCATACCAAAAATAGAAAGAATATCTATACATCTTTTGTCAGAAACCTTCATCCAGAAAGTCCTGGACTGATTTAAAATGTTGCAGTAAAGAGCTTTCTCACATCAAATTGCTAAAATTACTGTTGTTTCCTTTGAGAATGAAACAACACTCTCTTCAAACTACAATTCTCAGGAGTCTTCGGTGAAAGCTGGGATTTGCAAGACTCAAGTATATGTGATGATGGCAGACAGAAGTGGAGTTCAAGTAGACAACTGTCATCCATGGAGCGAATTGACAAATGTCATATGCTGTGCCTACGGACAATGTCTCTTGCTGACCACATATTCAGCACCAACACCGAACTCATGTCAATGTCAGGTTAAACCAATTTATTTTGTTCTAAAAAATTGAAGCTGGTGTGTGTGAATTTTCTTATTTACTCCATGTTGTAATTGGGTTTTAATAACTGGATTGTTTTTATTATAATGTATTTTGTCTTGTTGTATATTGCAGTGGTGCTTGTAAAATAATGGCATAAAATAATTCAAGAATAGTTACTGTCTCCTCCCCCCATAGAAACAGTATGATAAAGAGACTAATGTGAAGATGTACATCCAAATCATCCCCTGGTCAACCCTGGTCAATTCTGGGAATCCCCATTCACATGAAGGAGTGTTATACATTTATGCTAGTACATATGTACATCACCTTACCATACTTGCTTAAAACGTGGCCAGTAGGAGATCTGAATGCTTGGCACAGTTAAAAGGGGGCAGTTGTGTCCAAAGATAGGAGCAACTAGTTCCTAAATCAGATATTTATAATTGGTTCTTTTTTTACAAAGCTATAGTACAAGTTACAATATAGTTGCTGTTTAAAAAGTAATAATCTCAGTCATCTTATGGTGTAAATGTAATGGTGGCACACCCTTCAACATTTTACAGAAGAAAACTAGGACACATGTTGCCAAGCGTAAAGTCAGTTTGATCAAAATTCACAGACAACCTTTGGACCTCATTACACAGGGAGGGAAATTGAGAGCTAGCATTTTCTTCCCATTGGGTTCCATGGCATTCTGTTTTGAAAGGAGAGAATTAACTAACCCCATCACACAGGATGTGTCTTTGTCCATTTCTGGTTAGACTATGCGCTTCATTCCTTATCACAGATCTCTCAGGATTTTTTTTAAAAAATGTTGCTGTAACTGTGAAATTTCAAACCTTTGCACATTTTTAAAAATGAAAAATAAAAAACCTGTGACGTGAGCACTTTGTGGATGACGGAATGGGAGGAGGAGGCTGTTTGTTTGTTTGTTTGTTTAGAGCATTTTTATCCCGCCTTTCTCAGACCGAAGTGTGGCATACAGATTGGCAACAATTTGATGCCACAACATACAGTACATACATACATATCAATTAAAAACATTTGATATCACATAATAAAAATCCATATAAAACCATTAAAACTATAATCATCAATGTCTTTTATCATTCCATCATCTATGGAGTGTCCACAATACAGGGTTTTTTACATTTTATTTTTAATCATGTAATTGCAGTATTTCAAAAAATTTTAATTGTCCACTTAGCAGTTACAGCAACAAAGCATTTTTTTAATATGTGGGTAGAGTCATTTACCAGTCTTTTTCTGTGTCCAAAGAGTAATGGCAGCAGAATGAGCATCGAGGGGCATGAAAAGACTGCTCATATGCATGCTCACACTGAAACATCACAAAATGAACTGAAAACGGGCAAATGCACTATTTCCCATCCCAAAATCAATTTCTAAGCACAGGGAGATGAGTGGAGCCAATTTCAGTCTGTCTTTCAAATCTACCAATTTCTCCATGCTGCAGAGATAGCATTGCATCAGTCCCACAGGCAATCCACAGAATGGGTTGTGAATTGATTGATGGGATCTGTGGGATTTCGTCTTTGAAGCATGTAGAAATGGAGGGCACCTTCCATTTGATGTAGTCTTAAAAAAACTATAGTAGTTTGCTTTTTGTTTTGTTTTCTACAGGATAAGCAAGATTCTGCCCCCTCCTGTTCTCCGCCACCACTGAGTTGAGTGCAAACCACTTTTGCACTTTGAACTCGTTTTGCATAAAGTTTGAAACAACCTGAGGACAAAACAGGGAAGTAAGATGAGGTGAGAGAAAACGGGAGATTTTGAGGCTTTTCCTGCCACAGTTGAAATATATCTGATGGTCAAGGAAAGGTGACAAGGGGGACAGGTGAGTGTCCTTGTACCACAGGCCAGCAGCTTGTAAGTATTCAAATGTATTTAAAGTAGTTAAAACATTATGTTCAGTTACTATTGAGGAATAGGAAAGAGTTATTTTTAAACACTGTAGCTATGAGGGCCTGGGGGTATAACTGTAATTGATTGCTTTTTAAAAACTAATTGGTTGTTTAAAATTTAAACTAATTGGTCTTTAAAAGTAATTTGCAAACTTTCCAAATTTTCCACATTGCACTGTCCCTGATGTAACTGGGACAAGTCTGTGCTGAACTGGCATAATAGATTTAATAAACGTGTGTTGCATAAATATGCCCTTCAGCTACTATCCTACCCATTTTGTTGAAGCAGTAAGATAACACAAAGAACTTTTGAACTCATGAGCTAACAGCAAAACTTGGACAAGTTTTGCCTTTCTTGAATAATAACTCCCCAAATCCTCCAGCTGGCTGGAGGATTTTATTTGTGAGTCCAGCAAGTAACTTTTTCAAGCTCTTGCTGGGTGTATGTGGAAAAAGATAAAAACAGCATTAGAGTGATTCCTTATTCAGTTAGAAATTCTTTCCAAGTGAAAAATATCACATTGCTGAGAAGACATATTGAACATAAAAAAGTGACCAGAATATTGCAGTGAGGAGTGCTTTCTGTATCCTGTTATTGCTACTAAAAGAACACTTTTAAAAAACCCAAACAAGTAAGACTTGTTTTCCATTTTCAAGGCGAACTATTTTTAGCATAAAGCCAAAGTGTCTGTGTTTGTATAGGAAGACAAAATGATTGATTGAGGGAGTGGCCGGAGATTCCAAAATGGTTCTCCGATGACAGCGAAAAGAAGAATGGTCATCTCTGGAAAGGATGAATACTATATATATATATATATATATATATATATATATATATATATAATCATTTATATATTATTTTCTTTAAAAAGTATAGAAAGAAAACATTTAATCTTCTTGAGGAAAAACTAAAATAATAAACTTCTTTATTGCATGTCAATGGCATCATGTCCAGAGATGTATGGAACCAATTAGAAAAATCACCATTGTCTTAAGGTTGTCAATCCTTTATAAGAAATATGGTCACACACAAAAAAGCCAATTACATCAGCAGATTTTTTTTTTTACACAACCACCTTTTTCTCTTGGCATGGGAATCAACTAGTGTTGTTACACTAACTAACACATTCACACAATGTCTCATGTTTAAACTACACTAGGGCCAGTTTCAAAAACATTTGAAAAAGTCTAAATGCTTCCTTATGCATTATGACAAGAGGAGGAAACTTTAGTACTCCAGATGTTCTCGTATGGTGGGTGGGTCTGATGGGTGTTGCACGCCCTAATCATCTGGCAGGCCAAAGGTTTCCCACTCCTGCATTCTGCCACTAGGCTAGTCCATCTCTAATAATTCTGAAGCAGAACATGGAAAAATTCATACTTTTGACCACAATTGCTAGAATCTCTCTGCAAAAGTCTTCTGTGGCTCTTCAAGGCATTCTGTGGTGGCTCATACAAATAAAATCCTATTCACATAAAATCCTATGTATGTAGGTCATAATCAGTTTCCTGATTTTTATTTGGCAGCTGAGCACAGAAGTTTGGCAGACACACATGTAGCATGGATCAAACCAAGTATCATCTTGAAAATCCCCAAGGGAAAAGGGAGGGGTATTTAAATGATTTCCAGAGCCTTCACACAGCTTCCAAACTCAGCAATATTAACTTCTTCTCATGAATGAGATGTACATTGTCCCCAATCAACACACGTGACCATACAAGAGATACACAAGAGGGGCTTTTGAAAACCCATCAAAATCTCCAAACCATTCTTAAGCATTATCTACCAACAAAGATGGCTCTTCTGGATTATTTCATTCCTAAAGATATGTTTTAATAGGGTTTCTCCAGATTAAAGATATAAAGAATATTCGCAAATGGTCTTTCTATTGATGAGAGAAAAAAATCTGAAACTTCTCATGAAGATATTGTACAATAACCATGAGCTTTTTCACTCTTTGAGGGCCTTTTTTGCAATAATAATGATAATGCCAAAATAAACATCTTGTGCAAATGGCTTTTTGTGAAAATATTGTTCAAAACAACTTTTTTAGAAAAAAAATAAAAACATAGAAAATAAAAAAAATCAGAAAATGCAAAAAAAAAATAGCCTTACATGGTTAGAAGAAAACTTTGACATATTTTGCTTGTGTGAGTGAATGCAAAACAAAGAGTTACATCTCTACTACTGCTTAAAGTAAAGAACGAAATAGTGCTTTGTCCATTAATGCTATCTCAAGGTGACACAACTTCAGAACCATCGAGTATTTTAAAAGGTTGCCTATATTATTTTTAAAGTCATATTTTTGTGTTCCATTAGCAAGAGGCTAGTGGGCATTAGTCAATCCACCCTCCATATCTACATTCTGTATTCATGGATTTAACAATCTATAACTTGCAAAATATTGCAAAAATTCCAAAAAAAAGGCAAACCTTGATTTTGACTTTTTATGTAAAAGACATCATTTTACTACATCATTGTTTATAATGGGACTTGAAACCAAATTCCAGGAGATCTTAAAGGCCCACTGTATATTCAGCAAAGACTATGATAATTCACAGCTCCCTAATATATTTACCTGCCTCTTTCTTGAAACCTCTGGAATATGCATGTTATAGTTTTACAGGAATACATAATAATATCCTGCATCCTCCCATAAAGAAGATCCATCCTCCCATAAAGAAGAATTTATAGGATGTCAACCAGGGCTAAATGTTTCAGTGTTCCTTTTGTTTACTGCAGAGTTTCTCAATTTCCCTAATCTTTGAATGCTATTCTTGGAACCAGTACAGTAACAGTTCTGGATTTCCTGTTGCACATATACTCATTAGTCACCAGGAGAGCATATGGCCTGTGAGCCAGATGTAGCCCAGTGTTTAAAATTTGATCTAGCCTGCAAAGTTTCACTAGCTCAGGTGAAAAATGTGACTCAAGGAGAAACTACAAAATGGTCTCCAGGGTGAAAAAGCAGCAACACTTTTATCTTTTGCCCCAGTGTGGTGCGGCTGAAGTTCTGGTTTTGGAAAAGGCAGTGTCAAAGGTGCCGTGAGAGTAGTTGCAATCCTGCTCCACTCGTCATGTTTCCTTTACCATATGGGCTATGTGGGCGCTATCCTAGATGTTTGCTTTTAGCTGACAGAACTGATTGCTTATTTACTTATTTGATTTTTTTTCTTAGCTTTGCTCCAGTGTCAGATTCAAGATGACTTACAATATGGATTAAAACAATGAGCTTATGTACAGGAACCGAAAAAACTCATCTCGAATCTGGTGCTGGATGTCTCCATGACACATGACAATTTCTAATAGGTATCCAAATGATTAATCCAATTTTGTTCTGCACTAAGCAAAGACAGGAGATACACCAAAGTTTGCAAGGAAGTCCAGAATATCCTCAACTTTGAGTCAGGCTGGACAAATGGATTGGGTCAGTTTCAATCAATTTCATTGCCCACATGCACACTGCTGCCATCACCATTCCTTGCACTGATTAGTGCAGCAAAGCAAATGGGTAATCCATTTTGATGTCACCGCACCTCTCTGCAATCACATCTGCTGCACTCTGAATGGGGTACCCGCACAATCAGCAAGGAGATCACTCATTTGTCTCCTTGCTAATCACCTGGACACCCCATTATTTATTTTTTATTTATTTATTTGTCGTGTCAGGGCAACCAGTCAATTGTATTACATTTCTAACAGAACAAAACAAACAAACAGAAAAAACATGAAATTTGCAAGTTTGGTAGTTGATTAAATGTCCTTTGACCAGTATCTGGCCACTTGGAGTGCTTCTGGTGTTGCCGCTAGAAGGTCCTCCATTGTGCATGTGGCAGGGCTCAGGGTGCATTGCAGCAGGTGGTCAGTGGTTTGCTCTTCTCCACACTCGCATGTCGTGGATTCCACTTTGTAGCCCCATTTCTTAAGGTTGGCTCTGCATCTCGTGGTGCCAGAGCGCAGTCTGTTCAGCGCCTTCCAAGTCGCCCAGTTCTGTGTGCCCAGGGGGGAGTCTCTCATTTGGTATCAGCCATTGGTTGAGGTTCTGGGTTTGAGCCTGCCACTTTTGGAGTCTCACTTGCTGAGGTGTTCCAGCGAGTGTCTCTGTAGATCTTAGAAAACTATTTCTAGATTTAAGTCATTGACGTGTTGGCTGATACCCAAACAGGGGATGAGCTGGAGATGTCTCTGCCTCAGTCCTTTCACTATTGGCTGCTACTTCCCGGCGGATGTCAGGTGGTGCAATACCAACTAAGCAGTGTAATTTCCCCAGTGGTGTTGGGCACAGACATGCCGTGATAATGGGGCATGTCTCATTAAGAGCAACATTTACTGTTTTAGCGTGGTGAGATGTGTTCCACACTGGGCATGCGTACTCAGCAGCAGAGTAGCATAACGCAAGGGCAGATGTCTTCACTGTGTCTGGTTGTGATCCCCACGTTGTGCCAGTCAGCTTTCATATGATATTGTTTCTAGCACCCACTTTTTGCTTGATGTTCAGGCAGTGCTTCTTGTAGGTAAGAGCACGGTCCAGAGTGACTCCCGGGTATTTGGGTGTGCTGCATTGCTCCAGTGGGATTCCTTCCCAGGTGATCCTCAGAGCTCGGGATACGTGTCTGTTCTTGAGATGAAAAGCACATGTCTGTGTTTTAGATGGGTTAGGGATCAGCTGGTGTTCCCTGTAATAGGCAGTAAGAGCACCTAGAGCTTCAGAGAGCTTCTGTTCTACCATCTCAAAGCTCCCTGCATGAGCGGTGATGGCACAATCATGAGCATAGATGAAACTCTCTGTACCTTCTGGCAGTGGCTGGTCATTTGTGTAGATGTTGAACATGAATGGAGCAAGCACGCTCCCCTGAGGCAGGCCGTTCTTCTGTTTCCGCCATCTACTTCTCTGGCCCTGGAACTCAACAAAAAAAGCTCCTGTTTCGTAGC